CGAGAGAGGAGAGCAAATCGAAGCCTCTGTTTGACCTCGGACCTGCCCTCCAACCTCTCCGGCCTCACCTGCCGAGGGAAGTGCTGACCGGGAGGGTCCCGAGCCCCCACCTTTACCACGGGAGATTTGGAGCTCAGCGAGGCCAAGGGGGCCTCCCTGGAACCCCGGCTCCTTGCACCACACCAGGGAAATACGAAATACAAGAAGCTAAAAATAACCGCCCCAGGCCTGGGGTCAGGGGGCTCCTCCCCCGGCAGAGGACAGGGATGATGTCAGCGCCAGGCAGCATTCCTGGGCCGCTCAGGTCTGTGGGCCACTGCTCAGGAATCCACCGTCCCTCTGTGCCGCCTCTAATCTCCGCCCGGGCGGGCGCAGAGCGAGTGCACGTCACTGCGTGTGCGTGAGCGTGAGCGCCCGTCAACGCGAGAAGGGATCGGGTTTAGGCTCTGCGTCCTTTTAGGGAAGTCTCGCTGGGAAACAAAGCTCCGAGCTTTGAGTTTCGGTAAGCCACCCCCGTGTCCCGTCCCGGCCTCATCAGGGACCGGGCAGGGCTGCTGTCCCTAGCAGTGACCGCATCCTCCCCTCCTCTGGCCCCGGGGCCCCACCTCCCCCAGCCCCACTGCAGCCCACGCTCCCCCGCGGGGTGATTGGAAACCTACTCTGAAACGCGGTTATAAATACCCAATAATAAACAAACACGAGCTATTTCTGAAGCGTGCCCAGGAATAGCCAACTGCCCAAACAGCCAAGGCCGTTCTTCAGAGCCTGGGAAAAATAGAGACGCGGGCATGGGTTATTTTTCCATTGCCCAGAGCTGAATCACTGGTCACAGATGTCTAATTTTAATTTTATGTTTCCATTTTTTAAAATCTTACCGTCTCATAGCCTGGGGGAAGAGAGAGGAGGGAAGGGGGAGACAGAATGGGAAGGAAAGAAAAAAAAGGAAGAGGGAAGGAAGATTCTTTTCTGAGACTCCGGGTCTTACGACGGCTTTCAGAAAAACGACGTCGTGTGTTGGCTTTAATAATTTCTCAAGCTTGTTAGATAAAATTGTAGCCCGGGCACGGTGGCTCACTCCTGTAATCCCAGCACTCTGGGAGGCTGAGGCTGGAGGATTGCTCAAGGTCAGGAGTTTGAAACCAGCCTGAGCAAGAGCAAGACCCTGTCTACCAAAAATAGAAAGAAATTAATTGGACAGCTAAAACATATAGAAAAAATTAGCTGGCCATGGTGGCGCAATGCCTGTAGTCCCAGCTACTTGGGAGGCTGAGGCAGGAGGATCGCTTGAGCCAGGAGTTTGAGGTTGCTGTGAGCGAGGCTGACACCACGGCACTCACTCCTAGCCTGGGCAACAGAGTGAGACTCTGTCTCAAAAAAAAAAAAAAAAAAAAAGC